GCCGACAGCCGTTTCAGCCAACTTGCAATAGTTAGTGGTCTGTGGATCCGTGCCAGTTTGTACTTCTGACTCGTCACATTGCGAACTCGCTGACGGATCCAAATAAGAATACAAGAAATATGGCGATTTTGGGGTTAATACTTTCGCGACGGTTTGTGTTGATGCAGACGACGTTTTTCGGTGAAGTTGACCTGGTCTATTAGTTCGAGGTTTTTTCCCTTGGAAATTTGGGTTTGTGCCTTTTTTGGAGTTGGAATTCGGGTTTGAACTTGGATTTACAGTTTCCCCCTGTTCTTTTTTCTCGGAATCTTTGAACTGTTTTGGTGGTGACGACGAAGGAACCGAAGGGGAGGTTGATTTAGAAGTAAAAATGGCAGTCGACATAGTTGTTAAATTAACAGTTGTAGCCTCTTCGAAATTACTATTGTTAATATTTTTATTATTGTTATTGTTGGTATTGTTGCCGTTGTTTTTGTTGTTTTTGTTTCTCTTTTTAGACGATGATGATGATTTCGAATAATCGGATTTTGTCAAATTGGCGCTTTTAATCGCAGAGAACAATATTTCTTTGGCGTTAGATTTCTTGTCATTAATATCATGAATATGTAATGATTTTTTGATGATCGAGGATAAGAATTTGGTAAGTAATATTATTGAGAGTGTGTAAATGCAGTAAAGTGTAATGTTGTTACTGCAGATGCTTATCAGATTGGATTCCATGATACATGTAATTCAATGAAAGTGTTTTTTTAAGGTTTTTTTTTTTAAACAAATAACGATAGAACAAACAAAAAAAAACTTTGTATGTCCTTTTTATTTTCGACAATCTCGCAAATCAGTTTCATATTTATTTCGGATAGTTATCGTTATAGTTTATAGAAAGATAATAATTCTTCGTACAATGGCAACCAAATATAAGCTTTGCAGCCGATAACGATACTGGGATCGACGATGCATAAATTTATTGGGGAGGTGATGTGTTCCATTCATTCTCATTATCGTAATGGATCTCAATCTCTTGTGTTTCAATGCACTGTGATTATTTATTGAAACCTCTTTATCTAACATGGCGATAGATATTGAAACTATACTCAAAACGAGGTAGAATATTAGTAAGCAAAACTTTTGACAGTTCCCGAATTATCCCAATACAGCGCTTGAATTTGACTCCAGATAAACATTTGGTTGTTCTATAAAATCCCGGAAACCCTAAATTCGGTAGTATTCATTTGAATATTTGAATACCGTAATTAATATTCTATCGAACACGGGCCGTCAAATAGTTTCGTAACTAGAAAACACGTAAAATTAATCATACAATGTACATACATGTACAGTACATGCAAATTTAACGTTAATTAAAAAACCTAAAAAACCGGATTATCCCGCTCAAAAACTAGCCAATCATTCGAAAGCGCAACCATAACAAATTTCAAAACAATAAACTCTTGGAATGTCTTTCCCTTATTGTTCTTTTTGTCAGCATCTACGTCAAAGAACCCACTTTATCGAAACAGATTCTTTAAATCTACTTTATTTTACCTTGTCACCTGCTTCAACATTGACTTATCACTGTTTATATCACCAATATTACGACCATACACGACAAGAAAAGTCACAACAATCTACTTTTGAGCATTCCCTTGGCCAAACAAGATCGCCTCTAATGATGGCACTTCATCGTAACTTCTCACTACATAAAAAGCGATCCATGAAGAATAAAGGTTATCTTCATACTGGTAATAATAATAATAATAATACTAATACTAATATTAATAGGTTAAAATCACACATTGATAAATCAAATAAATCGGAGAAGCAATATGATTGGGAATTACCAAGGAAAACTTTGCATTCATCAATTGGTATTATAATAGTTTTATAGTTTTTATTTAAGGTACTCAAATAAATATTGATCGAGATTTATTTTCTCATTAGGATTCATCGTTTTTTACCTATACTATAGGGATACGGATCCAATTTTAATAAGAAATTACCTTGTAATCGCATTCATCTTCGTATCAACTGTGGATATCTTAAGATTCAACAACAGAACGATCAATAATTTATACATAAAGTTTTGTGGTTTTTTAATGCGAGACTATGAAAAAAACGAAAAGTATAACGGGGTTATTTACTACCTCGCTGGATGCATCGGAGCATTATCAATATTTCCGAAGGTATCTTATCGTTCTTATTCCTTTCCGTGTAGTGGTTTCCCACTAAGGACTCCAGTATCCCTTAATGTATATTGAATTTAACGTGTTAACTGATTTTAGTCTTACATGTATAAATTAGGACATTGCTTCATTATCAATCATCATATTGTCTTGGTGTGATACAGCGGCATCTTATATTGGGCGAATATGGGGACATCACACGTATAAATTTAAGAATGGTAAATCATTGGCTGGCACGTTAGGTGCTATTACGTTTGGATCGTTAGCTGGTCTGTTATTCTGGGGAAATGGATTATTCTTTCGACGACGTGTCGACGGAGGCCATCAACTCGAACCGTTCTTTATAACTCCAAGTTGGAAATCGGAGAAGATATCATTACCTGTATTAGTGATTATAACTGGCGTGATTGGAGGT